ACTACGTATATAAATTTCTTAAATAAGACAAGCGAAAATTAATAATGTAAACACACGCAAATGTTGAATCGCGATATTTAAAATAGTCTACGAAGTACTAATAAAATAGTAGGTCAGTGAGTAAATCAGTAATCAGCAAAATAAAATAGATACTAAAAAGAAATACAATAAGAATCATTAATCAATTAAGTTACGAACAGCAAGCACAATACAACAGTTTTATTTTCTCTAATACATTATCTATTTTTGTTCCGCGTATAGCATTCTAAAAATTTTCAGTACATAAATAATCTTACGATATCACTTTACCTTCATACATGATAATTAATTAATAAATTTTAAAAAAATTTAGAAATAAGTATTAGTCTATTTTTTTTTTATTTATAAAAACAAAGAACGTGTAAAACAATGTTACTCAATTACTTAGAGCCAATATATTTTTTATTTTTCACTACCTTGACAACGACATATGGACAAAATGAAGACGATCTGGTGATAAAAAAAATAGCGAATGGATCAGCATAGGATAAATTTAATTTTTTTATTTTACAATGACAACTACAACTGAACCATAAACCTCGAATCCAAGACATATTATGATGGTCCAATCAAGACCTTTCCAACGCAGAAGTCATAGCTGTACAGCGTGCACAAATCCACGGACAGACAACCATAACACACCTCCCTGTTTCAACACTGGTTGAGGCCTCGAGTGACCGGTGACATTCAAACAACGAAACGAGTGAAGAATAATTTCTAAACACTTATATCGTACATGAGTATGATGTGGATTTATATTGTAAATTTGTTATAAGAAGTATTATGTAAAAAAAAGAGCGTGTGAAAACATGCGTTAGGCGTATAAATAAAAATGTAGAGTAAGGGTTCACATACAAAATATTATTATAAAAAATAAGATTGGTAGAAATAAACTGGTTGAAATTTTACTATAACACAAAACACAAAAAAATTCATTGACACTAGCAAAGTCTTACGTAGTTGTGATTCTCATGATATATATATACGAATATACGATCGTCAAAAACTGATGAATCAAGAAAAAATAGATATAGGGCGCTCGTCACACAAAAATACAATTAATATATTATCACGCGTGTTATCGCATTAGTAAGCCCGAGCAAAGCACAACTAATTTTAATAACTTGACATAAAGATATAATATATCATACGCATATTATGTGTAGAAATACAAACATGCAGTATATGTATATTGTATAAATATATAATGTAAATATCAGTTATCACGTATTCACACCTAAACAGTGGTAAATATTCAAAATCAGGTAAAATTTCAATCAATTTAAAGAAAACTAACCTTAATAATATTTTCTTAAATTGTAAAAAAAGGGTTGGCGTTTAAATGAAACATTATTTATATTGTTATTTTTTTTTT